CTCGTGGTGGTTTGGGGCCCATCCATCAGGATGGGATGCCTCCACTATGTCTGGGATCCAAAGGTACGCTCCCGAGCATTCGTTTGCGTGTGCTCGGTTGAGGGCTGATGCGACACCCCAGTGCTGTTGGCATCGCTTGCAGTCTTTGTGGGGTGGGGAGGGATGCCGCCAAGTCGCCAAAGGAGGAGACGTCGTCGAGTGGTTCTGGTGATGATGGGAAGCCTAGCAGTGAGAATAGCGGAGGGTTGGTCTCGGAGTGTGAAAGCGAGGCTGAGCTGTTGACGAGGGGGTTTGGTGTGGTCGCGGTGGGCTTCTTGAAGTCGATAGGTCTCAAGGAGGCTTGGGGAAGCTTCACGGGCCTCAGTGGCCGTAAGGGGAGTGTGAAAGCATCTTCGAGTCCATCGAAGGCATCTGGAGCCTCCGCGAGGCGGGTTTCAATATCGTGCCAGAGTCTTGTGCATTCTACAGGGTGGTAGTCATCAATCTCCTCTTCCAAGGTGAAGATAAGTGATGATAGGAAGGAGGGATCGTCCCTTCGGTCCTTCCATCTTGCGCGGGTTTTCGTGGCAAGAATATGGTTCCTAGTGCGGAGGAGGGGGAGGTTGGTGAGTCGGCGTAGGGCACGTTGGGATGTGCTTCCTTGTGCCCCCATGCCCGTCTTGAGTGCTGTGTATTGGAAGTTTTCGAGTAGTTTAATAGCGTCGTTGTCGTAGATTACGAGTTGGAACCCATATTCGAGGATGGGTCTAAGGAATACTTTGTAGATCCAGAGTGCGGTACGTCCTGAGAACCCTCTTCCGTTGAATCCCAGTCTTTTGAGTTCTGCTAACTTCATATGGGCTTTTTTCAGACGCATTTGAGTTTGTTCAAACATCTCAAAGCCGTGCGTACTGAAAATGAATCCGAGATATCTAAAGAATTCGGTCATTTTCAAGGTCTGGTCGTAAAGTTTTAACATAGCCGTCTCTGCATCAGTAGCGTCCTCCGGGGGGATCACTTCAGTTTTGTCGGGTGCGAATCGAAAATGTAGGTTATTACTGTATTCCTCCAAGAATCTCAGCATTTCTGTTAGTTCTTCAGCGGAGGAGGCAATGATGGCAATGTCATCGGCATAGATGACGGTGTGTTCCCCAAATCGTGCGATGAGGTCTCGAATCATGCGATCGATGAAGATTGCGTAGAGTATGGGGCTAAGAACAGATCCTTGGATCAGGCCCCGTGCAAGCCAGTATGCCGAGCTTTTCCGTCCATTGATGACCACCTTGGCAAGGCATCGGTCGAATAGGCTTTGGAGTATTCGTATGAGTGAGGGGGAGTACCCTCGCCGTTGGAGCTCATCCCAGAGGAGTTTCCGATCGACTGAGTCATAGGCCGCCTTTATATCCAAAAAGCACAGCCAATGGCGACCTCCAGTGCTTTTTGATTTAGCAATGAGGGCTTGAAGGACCGCCGCTTGATCAGCAGTTCCTCTTCCAGCGCGAAAACCTCCTTGGGCGGCGTGTAGACCTTCTCCATTTGGAGGCTGATCGAGGTATGGTTTCAGTAGTCGTTCATAGATCTTCCTAATGACTTGGGATAGAGAGATCGGTCGGTGTTTATCAACCTCATGCGGTTGGCCTTTTCCCACTTTCCACACGGGGTGAGTGTGGATTTCCCCCCATCCGGTAGGGGTTACGGACGTTTTTGCGATGGCATTGAAGAGGAGGAGGAGCCAGCTGGCAGCGATGTCTTCTATCGGTTTGATAAGTTCGGCTTTAATACCATCACCTCCCGGTGCTTTACCAATGGGTGTGTGTTTGATGGCACGGCGTACTTCGTCAAGGGTATGGGAAATGGTCTGCGGTGGTCGAACAGTAGGAATGATGAGGAGGTCCGGAGGTTTTTTTGGAGTGTTTGGGTCTGGATCGGCAGATACCATCTGGAAGTGGTTCTTGACGGCTTCCAGGGTATCCTCGTGACCTCGAAGTTGGGAAGCACATTGTCGGCGGTCTCGTCGGCGGAGTGTACCTGCAAGGAATTTTGTGGCTACCGCGGTTGGTAAGGTGTGGAGTGATTCTGTCCAATTTTCGTATCCCTCTCGTTGTTTCTTTTGAGTTAACTTTTTTACCGCTTTCTTAGCCTTTGCAAGGTCTTTTCTGGTTTGCGTGAATAGCTGTGTGCCGTATGCAGTGGAGTCAAGGCGGACCTGTAGACGCCGCCGCTCTTCAGTGAGTATTCTGACCTCCGGTCCCAGGTTGAGCATTTAGCTGACTTGAATTTCTTTATAGGTTTTGTACCTAGTATTTCGAGTGCTAGCCCGTCAATGGCTGCGCGGATTATATCGAGGGTGGTGTCAAGCTGTCGTACGCAGGTATCATCCGACTGTTGCGCGCCATCTGCCACAGCTGAGAGGACGTCTTCGAGAGCTGCATGTATTTCTTCTTGGACTTCTGCTGATATTTCAGTGGCTCTAGTATGGAATGCTTCTTTGGTTTTGGGGTTTTTCAGTTTTTCAAGTCGGTAGGTGAATATTTCGGGTTGTGAATGATGTTGTTGGGAAGTGGTAAGCTGATATCTGCCCAGATAGTGCGATGGAGTACGCCGACCAGGGCTTCCTGATCAACGAAGAGCCGGCTGCTATGTTCGGTGAGGTCTTCAGATATAGCGATGTAATCAATGACTGATTTGTTTTGATTTTGAATGTAGGTGAACTTGCTGCGGTGCGGTTCGTGTTTCAGGAAGGTTAGGCCGTTTGCATTAAGTGTTTGGGTGACGGCGGAGCGACGCCATACCGGAGATCTGGCGGTGTCACCAAACATGGGGCCAAATCGAGTGTTAAGGTCTCCCATCAGAAGGACGGGGCCTGGATATCGAGCGGGATCGGCGTATTTGTTGGTGGATAGTAGGGCTCGACGAGCTCGTGCAATTTGTATCGTTGGCGACAAGTAGAATATGCCGACATTTACAACGTCGCGGAACCGAAACCAGAGGAAATCGCCACGTGGGTCAGCCTCAAGTATTCGGAAGTCTTCGGGTGTGGTGGTATACGGATTACGCATGACAGCGAAGCCACTTCTTTTGTGTCGGCCAGGGTGTGATGGGATTCGGTGGTCAATAATGAGCAGTTCTTGGTGGGGGTAGAGATTTTGGCCAGGGTTAAGCATTGTCTCTTGCAATGTGATGAAATCTAGGGATTTTTTTGTTAGCAATTCACGAACTTCGTGTACGGAGGTTGCTAGACCCCCAACGTTAAGAGAAGAAACTCTGATGTTGAAGCGATCAGGGTTCATTCTTTCGGGTCGGGGCCTTTCTGCCCTGAGTTAATCATCATGCTGGTAGGGGGGTGGGGGTGAGGAGGGTGTTCAGAGTGTCGGCGGAATTCTTGGCGCGCTTCAGAGGTTGGGAGTATGGTCAAGAGTTTTATGGTAGTAGCCATATCCGGTGATTGCGCGGCTTCTTTAGCGAATCTGGCAATAATGTCAGTGAGATGCCTCTGGGGTGTGACGTCTGGTGGGGGGTAAACTGATTTGTAGTGATGACTCTAATGGGAGAGGTCTTTGCTGTATTGGAGAGGTAGGTGTTTAGTTTTTCCCATGTATCTCCGTGTTTACGTATGAAGAATTGAGTTTCTTTCCCGTGACGTATGATAGATCCAAAGGCCGGGGGATTTCGGCTGCTCCGGCAAGAGTGTTTTTGAGTTCGGTGAGCGTGGAGGGTTTAAGATTTTCGACTCTAATCTCGGTGAGGGCTTCCACGCGTGTACGCAAGTAGTCGTTCTGGATATCCTCAATGGTTTCAATGGCGATAGGGGCCCTTCTGGCCGCTGCAACCTTTCGGCCGAGGTAGGTATTGTTGATTGGGTTACGACCAGTGGTTAACATTTTGTGGTATGCCTCTGGGCGGTCCGCTTCCGCGAGTTTCCCGATAGCCTCGAGGGCCTTGGCGGCAGGAGTGCTTTTGGTGGCGGGTTGTCGATTGATGCCAAGGGGAGGTGCACGCATAGCATTACCAGTTCCAACGGGTTTATCTGCGGTTTGGATGGCGGCGTGAGCCAAGCGTGTCTGTACCAAGTCTTGGGCTATGTGGTTGTAGCTGCGTTTAAGAATTTGAATATATTCTTTTTGGCCCTTGGTAAATATGATGTGCTTCTCCAGGATGGCCTTGACGAGTTTCCGGGGACAAGTTCTTCTTCTGTTTGGTAAAACTCTACAATAAGAGAAGTTATCTCATGTTCAGCAGTTTCTAGGTTAATCTTGCTGGTTGGAGGGCGTTTCTGAGGGGCGGACGAGAACATTGACGCCATGGTACGAGTTAGTTGGGGGGAGGCTGCGATCTTTGGCTTCCCAATGCAGTGCATCCAGAGTTTAGCTGCCGTTAACCTGCCGGGGCAGGGAATGTCTGTGTGTGACGCTGACTTCTGCATGGTGGTACATTTGGAGCGTCCATCCGCACCAATGGCCTCCCAGAGTGACTGTGAGCGTCCAGTGCAGTGGGGGCAGGCTATCATTCCTCCAAACTGAGAGAGGAACTCGTTGATGATCTTAGGCGTGACATGAGCGACAGGTAATCCATTGGCTATGACTTTCATTTCTTCAGCATTGGAGGCAGCGGCTAACTTCCTGAGTATATCAGCCTCTCTCAATACTTCGCTAGGTTTATCGAGCGGTTTGTGATCGTCTGGGAGGTTCAGTCGTCCGTCTGGACCTTTGATGATGGACGCCCAGGTGGTGGGGTTGTACTCCTGACTGCTAAGGTCGGCATCGTCTGAGGATTCCATGTCTTTATCTTCGGTTCCATCAGGGTCAGGTTCCTCGTCGACATAGGCCGCAGCGTCGGCATATGTCTGGTTACCAGGGGTCTGACCAGCGGTTTTGAGCAGCTTAACAGGTTCGTTCCTTTCTTCTGATAAGGGTCGCTTTGGCTGACGATTCTTATCTTCAGGGGTCTTCGCTCCAGCGCTGGTGGCGCTAAGACGACGGCCGTTTGTGTCCGACAATTTTTCCATCGAACAAACTCTATATGGGGGTATGGCGTAGTGGTAACGCGTTCGCTTCGCATGCGAAAGACCCTGGGTTCGATCCCCAGTGCCTCCATTGACGCGTCGATAGTTAAGTGGTATAATAAGCGCCTTCCAAGCACTAGTGCCGGGTTCGATTCCCGGTCGACGCAATATTTTGGTTCCATGGTGTAGGGGCAGCACTTCAGATTCTGATTCTGGCAACGCGAGTTCGATTCTCGCTGGGACCTATTAATTGGGCAGATGGCCGAGTTGGTCTAAGGCGTCACGTTAAGGCCGTGATCTCTCCGGAGGCGTGGGTTCGAATCCCACTCTGCTCACTTCATCCGAAATAGTCTAGTGGTTATGATCCCGCTCTCTCACAGCGGTGGCCGGGGTTCAATTCCCCGTTTCGGAAAGCCCGTGTAGTTCAGTGGCAGAATATTTCCCTCCTAAGGAAGAGGTCTTGGGTTCGATCCCCAACTCGGGTAAACTTTTTAAATTTGTAAAATCTATTGAATTAGCTTTTTTGCTTGAGGGGCCGTTTCAACCTGTTAATCCCTCTTAAAAAATCCCTCTTCCAAAATTCCTCTTATATGTTACACACGATTAAAATAGGGATTATTTTCTTTTTTTTTTAATCCAGCTACCCCCCCTGGATTATTTGAAATTACAGGGATTATTTTGTCGTTTGACGTCGGTGACAATGCGACCCTCGCATGTCGCACTCGTAACGGCTCTTGTAATTCTCCTCCTTTCGACCGCATCCGCACTTGTAACTGTCGCAGCGGTGACAGCAGCCACTGCAGATGGACGGTCTAACAGGTAATCGTGTTTCTACATCCTTAACGGCTGGAAATCTAATGGTTTGTAAAGAAATGAAAGGAAACGACGATTCTCTACCCGGACTTCGGCATGGTCTGAGGTAGATGCTGATCCAGCGTTCCACGATGGCTGGTTCATCAATACCTTCAGATGCAGCCGGACCTCTTTCAATCTCATATATGGGATGGTGGTAGAACATTGGGAAGAAGTCAATGAACCTTTGGGTGATAGCACCCACTTCACCATTCGAGATCGCGTTGCTGCAACGCTGCATTACCTCACCCATATGGGCGCTCTGGCGGATACAGCAAGTGTGTTTGGGATGGGGAAGTCAAGCGTGCACCGATACATATGGCAAGTTATCGAGGTTATCCTCGTTTGCCTTCAACCACAATTTGTTGGTCTTCCCGTCACCGATGATGAATGGCAAGAGTTAAGGAGGGGGTTTGAGGACGTTTGCGGATTTCCTTCAACATACCTCGCCATTGATGGGTCTCTCATCGAAATCGAGAGGCCTCGAGACTACGAGGGCTGGTACTGTCGCAAGCTTTACCCTGCATTGAACGTTCAACTCGTCGTTGATCACAAGAAACGCATACGAGACTACGATATTCGCCCTGGATCTGCAAACGACAAGTCAATCTACAACAACTCAACATTCGGAAAGACAGTACATCTTCGTATTCCACCGGGTGGCCATATTGTGGCCGATTCAGGCTACAAGCTGTATGTGATGACGCCTTTTGAGATTCGCGACGACATGCCCGCCGACGAGCGGCGATATAACTACATGCACTCTTGCACGAGGATTGTGGTGGAGAATACGATTGGGCTTCTAAAGGGGAGATTCAGAAAGCTGAAAACAGCCTTAACGCAGCATGCAAGGATCAAGGATGGAAAGTATCTCTCGCCCACCGCTCAAATGGCACGCGTTGTTCAGGCATGCCTCGTCTTGCACAATGTTTTGATCGCAATTGGCGATGCTACAGAGATAGAGTCTTTTTACGATCTGCCTTCCTATGATCCCCTACCTGAAGAGCTTGGGATTGACGCTGAGGATCCCGTTGGTGGCGAACAGGCACGAGCCAAGAAGAATCTTATCAAAGATTATCTTATGTTGTTTTCTTAAAAAAGAGATCAAAAAAGAGCTTTATTTAGTCACTTTTTCGTTGAGACAAAGCTTCCTTCATTGCATCCGCTAAACTAGTCGACATCAATCCAATACACTCCTTCAAACTGCTTGTCATCACATCCTTCATAGCTGTTTTAACCGCATCTTTAAACTCCTCCATTTCCTCCGTCTTGTTCTCTCGAACTTGCGCTTGAGCTGTTGGTGCTGCCATACTTGCTGCCATCAGTGAGAGACTGTTGCTGACATGAATGAATCCATCTTTGACGCTATCACCCAAGGTGGTGATGGATGATGGCATGTCAACTTTCTGTCTCTTTGCTCCGGATCGCGCAGGAATGGTGAGGGTCTGCGAGCCATCTTTTGAAGGGGTGGATGCAGGTGTCGATCCGCCAGAAGACGACAAACGTGATGTCGCTACGTTGGGATGGCCATCACTGCGGCAAGATTCGTCATCATTGTGGTGGGTGTCGTCTTCATCGTCGCTATCATCACTAACCATCCCCATAGCAAGGTCGACTCCAGTATTGACATAGGTAGCTGTGCCCAACGACTCCCCTTCTAACCCTTTACTGTCTCCAAAGTACTCCACAAGAGCGTCCCAGTAGGTTGGCACCTTAACGAGATTGTTGCCGGTCTGGGTCAGGTGCTTTCCACCGATATCTGAGCGCATTTTCTTGAGAGCCTTGAACTTGGTCTTCACCTGCTCGACTGTGAACTTCACGGAATGAACAGAGTTGACTTCAAGCACAATCCTCCTCCAAACGTCTTCCCCTTTGTGCTTCTCCTTCGCACGAAGATACTCCTCTTTGAAAGTAACGAGTTTGGCCTTCAGCAGGGTCTTTATCATGCCGTCTGTCCATCTGATATCTTCGTTCACGATGGGGACTTTATCCTTCTTTTGTCTTCCTCGCTTCTTTTAGGTGCAGCGGGCGTTTCAACCAACGGCGGCGGCAACGGGGGGGGTTCGTCATGGTCATCCATTTTTTTCCGAATTGTCTGGATGAGTCAAAGTTCGAAAAGAATTATTTTACAGGGATTATTTCATTTATTTTTTGGAGATATACTTGGGACAGAATGAAAATCCAGAAAATAATTTTTAGGGATTTTTCAAGAGGGATTAATAGGTTGAAACGGCCCCTTGATCACATATCCGCTTTTATGCTGTAGCAAAACTCAAGTGGTTATTGCGGTACGCCAAAAAGCTAAGAGTTGCAGTTTTGCTACGCTGCAGAATGCTGATAGATCATGTTAACTCAACAACGAGAATGTATACAATAGATCTCAGCTCCGAGCACGCGTGATTATGTTCCGCACATAAGGTCTTTACACTTTATCATTTTATTGTCATTACACCCCAGCGTCCGGCACCCTTGGGTCAGCGCCTCAGGGTCCCGCTCCCCAGGGTCCTGCACCTTGGGGACGTCGCTCCAAGCACCCTGGGGCGTCTCTCCGGTGTCTACGGCACCTTGGGATAGACCCTGCTGCAGACCCTCGTCCTCATACACTTGTTTATCATGTGTAAGGACATATTTCAGCAATGTCACAGCCACCGTGAGAAGCGACGGAAGCTGAGGAGCGCCACCAAAAGGCGTTGTATGCAGATGTCCCATCAATTCTCAGCATCTGAGTGAGAAGTTCACTTTAAGTTCCCAGAGGACTTCAAGTGGAAGTATCAGTTCAATCCTGTACTCCAATGTTGATATTGCAAATAAATGGAGCAGCGACAAAGATGAGAACAATTTGAAGGACATCAGTACTGGAAAAGAGATCAGTACGGAGCGGAGCGCATTGTCTACTCCTGCAACATCGCATTCTCGAAAATTGCGTTCTCAAACATCATATGCAGGATCCCCGTATAAAACATAATGTTGTCCATCATGGGTAAGATGTTGCGGTAAGTACTCTAAAAGCTGGCTTTGCCTCAACAGGAAGCAATCATGCCTGCTCCCACATTCAGGTCCGTGCCAATGAGCGATGATCCCATCAGGCATCACAACAGATTGAAACTTGATGGCATGTTTGCGTTTATGCCCGTTGTACATCATCTTTTGGTCCCTGGATGGCCGGCAGATTTGTCAAACAGTTCTGTCAATGAGGCCAACGCAGTTTCCAAGGGCACCTCCCTTAGTGTGCACAGCTTCAGCGAACTCAGCAAGCAAAGCCGGCCCAATACAAACATGATCGAAGGTGAGCAGATGCTTGAAACGATGATAAATCAACCCTTGCACCGTGGAATAGATTTACGACAACGCAGATTGGCTGCGGCCAAAGAGTTTTTGGAGATCACATAATCGATTAGGATAGGCAAGCCGACGCAAAAGGATGCACAATGCTTCCCTTGCATCTGCAACAAATTGGCTTTCAGTAACGATCTTTCGCAGAAGCTTGAATAGTTCGATGAGCTCAATGATCTCATTCTTGTCAAAAGCGAAACGTATCGACCCAAAACGACCCTTGCTCGGAGATGCTTTGGAAGTCGAACGGGCTGATGGCGCCCTCACAGACTCATAATGCAAAGCGATGGCAAGCGTAGCGTAATCATCATTTGAGTCCGAATCAGACGAATCCATTTTATTTAACAACTTTTGCCGACAATTCCTTTCCCTAACTATCGTCATAATTTGGCCAAAATTTACGTTTGCAAAAACGTTTACCTATCTTAAAATTCACGATGAAATTTGCTAACGTGAAAATTTAATTTTTACGGTTGCAAAAACTCCCTAATAACTCGTAAATAAAAAGTATGGTAGAAAAGCACAATCAAACCAAAAAAAGTTGAGAAAAGATTTCGCAAAATGCATTGGCCGGGAATCGAACCCGGGGCTAACCGATGGCAACGGTTAATTTTACCACTAAACCACCAATGCGTGTTTCACTTGCCTTTAACCAGAGTTGAACTGGTGACCTCCTGCTTACTAGGCAGACGCTCTAACCAACTGAGCTATAAAGGCTTTCAAAGTGGAGAATCGGGGTATCGATCCCCGTGCCTCTCGCATGCTAAGCGAGCGCTCTACCATTTGAGCTAATTCCCCAATATAAGCTCCCAGTCCGGGAATTGAACCCGGGTCTCGCCCGATCGGTGCAGCTATGCATGACAGGGGCGGATACTAGCCACTATACTAACTGGGATGATGATGAAACGCCCAACGTGGGGGTCGAACCCACAACCTTCAGATTAAGAGTCTGACGCTCTACCGATTGAGCTAGCCGGGCTATTGAAGGAAGAAATGCTCCGCACAGGGATCGAACCTGTGACCTTGGCGTTATTAGCACCACGCTCTAACCAACTGAGCTAGCGGAGCATAACATTTGAAGGGAATGGTTGCGTCCAGGATCGAACTGGAGACCTTCTGTGTGTTAGACAGATGTGATAACCGACTACACCACGCGACCAATTTAGAGTATCAACTCCTCGCTCCTGCGTGGACTCGAACCACGAACCTTGACGTTAACAGCGTCACGCGCTAACCAGTTGCGCCACAGAAGCTGAGAAGTGCCGCCTCTCGGGATCGAACCGAGTACCTTAGCATCTTCAGTGCTACGTCTCCCAGGTGAGCTAAGGCGGCTTGTTAAAATTTCATTTTTTAGTCATAATTATTCGGAATTGTAGTACAAAACATCTATCTTTGATTGGCTGTTTTTGCCTTTTCTTTCATCCTACTCAAACTCCAACCTTGAAGTGGCATACTCAATATCACCTCGGCCCCTTATCTCTGCCCTCGCTGATGCCTGCTGTGACATATAGAGATCTGTGCAGAGGAGTGGGAATGTAGTTGGTTAGTTCTCAGATGTGCTCGTCGGAATTTTATATGAGAATTTTGTTTCATTATAGTGTGTTCATGGTTTCTAAGACATCATGTGTCATCAAAGTTGGACTGTGTTCGTGGGGATTTACTTTTATGTTTTCTTTTGTTAATGTTACAACATCTGCACAATGTTTTATTTAATTGTTATGGGGATTAAATTATATGGAGGGAGGTTCCATGAAGCAGGGGACTTGTCATCGAAATTTGAGAGGGAGAGCGAGTTTGGTTTAAGAAGAGCAAAATCAAATTGTTGACGCAGAGTTTTGTTTTGTTATCATTTACTATATAAAACTGTTTACAAACCCAGAGAGAGAGCAACCTAGTGAGTCTTATTAAGTACACTGCCTGCAACCTATATCTGGAGGGTTCTGGAGATCATGCATAGTCATGATGTTCCCTACTTGACTATGCGTCACATTATGATGGTTCATCACTGTCCTGATCACCTTGATTGCTCATGCCCAGCAGGTCCCTTGCACGATTCACCCATGCATATGCATTGTCCTTTGTATTCCACTTCCCAGCTCTGCCCTTTTGCCTTGCAGCGGATGTTATCCTTCCTGCCTGTCAAACGCTCGGTCTGCCTATATGTGTCAGACACTTGCGTCAAAATGCTTGTCTCCATTTTGCTGCATCCTTAAGCATGAGGTAGTTTCTGCTCAAGACCTTTAAGGACCAGTATCTACTTCCACCTTTCTTTATTTCTTAATTTTCTGGCTTTTCTCCTACCTTTAAGAGCTTTTACGCGATTTTTGTCCTTTCTTACTGGCAGAGTGGCAGAGAGCTGTCTTCTGTTCTTACCTGTACGCGCTTACGCGTTTTTGTGTCTGGAAGGCACCCCGTCTGCATTCTGGAAGCGGGATGGAAGGAGGGCAAGACTATTGTCTTGCCGTATAGTCCAAAGACGCCATGTATCTTTTCTGGTGCTGGGACTTGGCAGGGAAGGGATCTGAAAGCCTTTGTAGTTATTTAGGAGGGTGTAAGAACCAGAAACGTAGAGTTGGGCTCCACATTACACAACCCCATACCTACCTACCCCACCCTTGCTTCCAAAGTCATTGCAATGGACACCATCCTTGCTACTCAACCAAATCATCTTTGCCCTTACCAAGAAAGCAGGTACAAACAACTCATCTGCAAGTGTGAAGAACAGCATCTGCAAATCGCAAAAGTTTTTTCGTGAGGCAGCACCAACCCCAAAAAGGAACCTGAGACCCTCACCTGCTCTCTATTCTTTTCCCTTATGTTATAGGGTATTGCTTAAAGAGGTGACATAGAACTTACAAATGTTCAATGTGTTGGCGTCTCATAAAATTATTTGTCCCAAGACCCGTCAGTCCCAAAGAAAAGACAAAGGTAGGCGCTCAAATAGAAATACAGGCATGAAAGACATGCAAAAGATAATAGATAGAGAATGGAACACATACAAGAGATAACAGATAGAGAATAAACACATACAAAAGAAACAGATAGAGAATAGAACACATACAAAAGAAAACAGATAGAGAATAGAACACATACAAAAGAAAACAGATAGAGAATACTTAGTCCAATGCGCAACACCCATTGTAGGAGGGAGACAGGGACAGGAGATTGTGTACGATCATAGTAAGAAATGGAATGCAAACAAAGCAGAAAGAGATAGAACCAAGTAAGGAAAAAATGAGGATCCCTCAAAGAGAGTCCTCAGGTGCCAACACTAAGCAATCTTACAGCACTGCCTGTGTCAGCCGCCTTGTTCTTGCCAATACGTTGCCGCCTAGACCAGGTTCTGCTGATTGCGCCCCGTTGCGGATTTTGAAGACCTCTCTATAGCCCCCTCTGCTAAGCCCTGGCATACAGAGGTAGAGAACCACAAAATAGGTGACAATGTATCTATGGGGAAAAACTATGAAAACTCCGGAGAGGGAAAAGAATGAAACGGGAACAAGGAAACAACAATATTCGCACGATGTCTATATAAGCAACGCATTTATACCTAATAGTGAGGTAATATTATAATCTCACAGGATGTCTTGAAGTTCCCTTTCATGACGTTGGCAACAAGGTCCCACAAAGGCCAAAGTCCAGAGCAACCCTGACAGATGCGCTCAACCGCCTCCACACATAGGCGCACATTCACGTGCAAGGGGTGAAGGCAAGTCGCATTGGCAGAGAATGCTACTTAAGAAAGGAAGACATTAAGAACCGTGGAGCCAGGTGCTTGAGGTAATATGGCGGCAGGTTGGGAAAGGCAATGAGGAGGAAGTCGTTCACTTGAGTACATATAAATGCGTGTTTTTGACTAACCTTGGCATCAGCATAGTCATAATTTTGGCAGGGTTAGTGGTAGGCGATGGGTCCCAGCATCCAGTAAGCGAGAGCGTTAAACTGGTGGCGGTGAATGGTACAGCTGGTATAACTTGCTGAAACGGTCTTGGTCGGTAGGGTTGTCTTGCCGTCGTTGTTGGTATTGGTAGGTCGTTCAAGCTTCTCCTCTTTGAAATGCTTTTATTTAACATTGTTTATAAATGTTCATCTGGACAGGTGTAGTTTCATCCAGCGACGCGCTTATGTTAGTGCCCCAAGTACAACTAAATAATACTGTAGGAAAGAATAGAAGAAAGAGAAAGCCTGGTCCACAGGCAGCCATGCCTGGAGGTGTGCAATGGGCTAGTCCTGATCTGCAGACAGTGAAAAACTCTCTACAAATAAGTTAGCTTTACAGAAAGAGGATTCAAATAACAGCAACGGGCATCTTGCCGTGGTGGCATGTCATAAGTTGACATATCATCGCCACCGCTTTTTCTTCATTAAAAACCTTTCTTGCATCTATGGGGAAAAACTAAAAAAAGTATGAAAGCCCGCAACAGGGAATATAAGAATAAGGAATTAATCATAATGGCATGACATCTATAAAAGAAACACATTCATGCGTCTTGGTGAACATATATTTCACGGATTGAGGCTTCCCCTCGTCTTCATATCATTTCTCAAGTGAATCATAGGCATGTTTAAAGCATGACGTCGCAAATGATTTTCCAGCGAAGGCAGGTATTAGGTGAAAAACAGACGCGTACTAGGGATGCGATCCTGTCCGCAACTCGATGCTGTCGTTCTTCAATACTCCCCTGCAACGCGAAAAATGCGTAGGTACAGAAAAATCCAATTGGTGTGCGCATACCAGGGGTGGTGACCTCGCTTACTGACGATGCTATGACTCAAAAAACCCCGCTCACTCCTGTGGGTGCAACACCACATCCCCCATCTCAATCGTATCCGCTCCCTCGGCCACCAGGACCAATTCAGTCAGGGCATAGTCGATCCCCACTTCCTTCCCCCACTCAGAGCACTCCTTGGCCAACCTCTGCAAAGCAGGAGAGGTCATCGCAATTAAGATGGTTGTATTGTCAGCTAATAATAAAGAGTTAAGACGGCAACCTGACATGGTAACAAATGTGAGGAAGAGAACGTAAGCAAGCAGGGAGCGGATTCATAAACCCAAGAAATAGAACGTAAGCCAAACGTGTCCTTTGGAGGAGACCCCGTCTTACAGGGATGGGATCCAATTTGAAATCGCGAACAAGAAGGTGATGTGAAGAATTACATCATTCACATGGCCTATGGCTCATAAGGACATTTTGCCTGAGTCCGTTGAGTTCCGTTATATCCTGCGCCGACGCGTATATTTACGCGTCATATTGAATCCTCCCTTCTTCTCCCTTTGGGTTTTTTATATATACTTTTTCCCCACGTTTATAGGGTTTTAATTGAAGGAGGTGGTGCGCATATGTGCCGTTTATGTGTGTGTGCATATATTATTTATTTGTATTTTGTGTATTACTTGAAAATGAGAGATTCTTGATTTAATTTGTACCTGTTGAATTAAGTAGTTAATATTGAGTGGATCCCCTATCCTCTATCCCCACGCGTGGCCTCGCGGCGTGATCTCCCCTTCACTCGTAGTTGGATGACAGTCGACCCCTCTGCCCCCTTACCACCTGGTGAAGCTGCAATCCGGCCGTTTGAGACAGAAGGCTGTGATGGAATCCCTCCTCATTCACAGTGTCCTTTAGTCGAGGCTTGGTCAGCTATATTCCACCTCTGGTGCTCTCCAACCCAATAATCAGGCGCTAATGGCAGGCAATGCGTGAGGTTACCCTGTTCTAAGCTCTGAGAGGCAAACAGAGCCCATGTTCCAAAAGGTGCCATAGTTGTTAAGTTCTCGTGTTGGTCATATCCAATACAACGAAACACTTCATCATTCAATAGTTTATTCTGCTGTTCATTTACTGAACAAGTTCGTCGTCAAACTAGAGAGATGAGAGATGTTCATATCTTATC